ACTCGCATTTTAGACTCTGTTACTAACTGTATATCTGTAGACTTGGTATGTCTTAAATGTCCGGTTAGGATGTATTAGAACGAAATCTAAAATGAAAATTGTAAATAAGCCATCTGTATGTAAAAAACCAACTGTATGTAAATTGTAAATAAGCCATCTGTATGTCAAATATGTCTTATATGTCTTAAATGATATGATGAATTGGAAATGGGGGACCCTGATGTAAACAAGACGAAAGTCTTTCTCTGGTCTGCATCCCCTTAACAATTGTATGTTTTGAGCTGTACTGTACTGTACCCAATATACAAGCTGTTAATAAACTTTTCATTCAATCAATCAATCAAAGAGATATATACCAAGTTTGAGAGAACCTTACAGAGGAAAAACCCAGCTCCCAGGGAGAGAGCTTTACCGAGGAGAGAGCTACCAGGGGAAAACCCCCCTCTCTCGAGTTTGCTCCCTCTCAGCCAGTGTTTTTATGCTCAAAACAGGAAAGAAAAACCTAAAGACACCTCCTCCATACCCATATTTGTGGAAACTGGGCATGTCCTCTAGTGTGCAGGACTTGCAAAATATTATTCTCGGCTATGGAATAAACACATTTTTGGGGCCTTGGTATTTCTCCAAAAAGTCAGGAGAAAGCAGATTCTGTTGAACGTTGTGGTTCCTTAGTGTAGCATTGATTATCAGTACATTGCTCTCTTAATACATTCATAGAATCATAATAAATCATAATGCAATCTCCGAGTCTGGAAAAATGACCAGAGCCAGCTTAATGCCACAGTCTGCTGCCCTGGGACCGAGTGTTGCACAGTCTGGGAAACGTTTATTAAATCAGCTGCTGTAACCTTGTCTCTTCGGTAATACCCTTTTGGTTTCAGGAAGAATGAATCCATAGATTGATATTTTCTTTGTGTTGCTTCAAAAGATGCAATTGAAAAATAATTCTGGCAAATCTCACAAAAGATGTCTGGGAATCTCCCTCCACACCCATGAGTTAATACATAGTTTATGTTGATTGATTGACATCTGAAACAGCCAACACAGCTCTCTTGTTTCCTGTGAAGTCCCACACAAAGCGGGACACCTGGTCAGCCCACCACCACAGTATGAGTTTACAAAAAGGATTTTAGGTATCTAATCTGTGAAGATGCCCAAGCTGTATCAGTTTAAAAAAATTAATCTCCACAGATTCCTTTCTGTATGTCAGAAGGAAAAGTCTGCACACAATTCTTTAGACTGAAACTATTGCAATGGTATTGTTATCTGAACTGCAAAAGCTGCACCCAAAAACCTTGGCATCATACTTGAGAGGTTATGGACATTTTCCCTGTGTAGCAAACAATCAGTGGCGAGCCGCAACTTTTATACATATATCTGTTAATGCTATAGCCAAACTTAAGGAAGAGATTCCATCAATACTTAACTCGATAGCATGTCTGCATGTAAGGGAGGAAACTTATACAAAATGTACACCATCCCAAATTGATCATGTTGTTGATAGTGCTACAGATGCCCTGCGAATAAAATTAGACTCTGTTGCTCCTATGAAAAGGAAGAAAATAAAACAACATAGACTAGCTCCATGGCATAATGCCAAAACCCGCAAAAATAAAGCAAAAGTCGAGACAACTTGAAAGGATATGGCGTTCCACTAAACTGGAAGAATCTCGTTTAATTTGGCATATTACTCTCAATGAATATAAGAAAGCACTGCGTAAAGCAAGAGCAGCTTACTACTCTTCATTAATAGATGAGAATAAGAATAATGCAAGATTTCTTTTCAGCACTGTAGCCAGGCTGACAGAGAGCCACAGCTCGATTGAGCCTTCTATTCCCATAGCACTCAGTAGTAATGATTTTATGTGCTTTTTTAATGATAAAATTGTTACTCTTAGAAACAAAATTAATGACCTCTTGCTTTTGACCAGTATAGTGTTATCAACAGCTCCCGGAAATGTAAGTTCTAATATTACACTAGATAGTAAACTAGAATGCTTTTCAGCCATAAACCTTGAACAATTGAATTCAATGATTCTTTCTTCTAAACCATCAACGTGTATCTTAGACCCAATTCCAACTAAGCTGTTAAAGGAAGTTTTTCCATTAATTAGCACTTCTTTATTAAATATTATGAATATATCTTTATTATCAGGCTATGTTCCACAATCATTCAAAGTAGCAGTAATAAAACCTCTTCTTAAAAAACACAACCTCGATCCAGAGGTTTTAGCCGATTATAGACCTATTTCTAATCTTCCGTTCTTCTCAAAAATTCTTGAGAAAGCAGTCGCAAAACAGTTGTGTGATTACTTAAAAGACAATGATTTATTTGAAGATTTTCAGTCTGGCTTTAGAACACATCATAGAACAGAGACAGCTCTTGTTAAAGTCACAAATGACCTTCTAATGTCTCTATTCTTGTTTTGCTCAATCTCAGTGCTGCATTTGATACTATCGACCATGACATCTTATTGCAAAGACTAGAGCACTTAGTTGGCATAAAGGGAACTGCTTTAGGCTGGTTTAGGTCCTATCTATCTGAACGCTCTCAGTTTTTGCGTGTCAACGATGAATCTTCCATGCAAACCAAAGTTAGCCATGGAGTGCCACAGGGCTCAGTGCTTCGACCTATTTTGTTCACACTATATATGCTTCCGTTAGGCAATATTATAAGGAATCATTCTGTACATTTCCACTGTTATGCGGATGATACTCAACTATATTTATCCATCAAGCCTGATGAAACCAATCATCTAAATACAATTCAAGACTGCCTCAAGGACTTAAAAACGTGGATGACCTTAAACTTTTTGATGTTAAACACGGCCAAAACTGAAGTTATTGTACTCGGGCCAAAGAATCTATGAAACAAATTATCTAAAGATATATTAACTATGGATGGCATTAATTTGGCCTCCAGTGAGACTGTAAGGAATCTTGGTGTTATATTTGATCAGGATTTATCTTTTAACGCCCACATAAAATCAATCTCAAGGACCGCCTTCTTTCATCTACGCAACATTGCAAAAATCAGGCAAATCTTGCCTCAAAACGATGCAGAGAAACTAGTCCATGCATTTGTTGAGACAAATGTAACATTTGTGATATTGGGCTATATAAATATACATTGATTGATTGATTGATACCTATGCCCTCTGACCCCCCTTCCCTCAAAAAAAGAAAAAGAAGAGTTATTAAGATAAGATAAGATAAGATGAGATGGACCTTTATTAATCCCCGTGGGGAAATTCAGTTGTACAAAGCAGCAACAGGGTAAGCGTGAAAAAACAGGACAGCAAAGATTCACACAGATTAATAAAATCAAAAATAAAATCAAGAAATTTTTTTTTAAATAATAATGATAATAATAATAAAAGACTACAAAATAGGAGATGAGTAAAAATAAGAGTAAAATAACTGTCAGCATATATACATATTTGATCATCTAAGTTATGAAGTACGAAATGAGTTAAAGTGACAAGTGAAAAGTGAAAATGGACATCTGTACATATAGTGACATATCTAAAACATATTTGATCTACTACTAATATATTAACATGGGTTGTGGAAACAGTGTATATTTGTGTCCAGTGATTTTATTATTTAAATTTTTTTTTTTTTTTTTACATTTTTGACCCCTTGTTGTGCAGCCTGATGGCTACAGGCACAAAGGACTGTCCGAGGCGCTTGGTGCTGTGTTGTGGAGGGATGAGTCTGTGGCTGAACGTACTCCTCATCTTCATTAGCTCTGCATGGGGTGGGTGAGAGGGGTTCTCTAGGATGCTGTCTAGCTTCCTCCTCGTCCTCCCCTCTGCCACCTCCTCCAGATTGTCCAGTTGTACTCCCACTACAGAGCTAGCCTTCCTCACGAGCTTGTTCAGCCTGCCAGTGTCCCTAGTGTTTGTGTTTCCACCCCAGCACACCATGGCAAAAAAGAGCACACTGGCCACCACAGACTGGTAGAACATCTGCAGCAGCCTCGTGCACACATTGAATGACCTGAGCCTCCTCAGGAAGAACAGCTTGTTCTGTCCCTTCCTGAAGAGAGCATCCCAGTCACAGCGTATACTTCAGCGGAATATCAACACAACGAACCCTTCACATTCCAACTGCAACTGAATAGGCAGATTCAAAGGATTTATTTCTTTGTAAATGTAATTAAATCAAGTTATTTTGGTAAAACTAATGAAAAATATAACAAAAAATATATTTTTTATTTTCTAGAATATCTTAGAGAGGGCCTAGAGGGCCCTGACAGCTCGCCACTGTTATAGACTATATTTTTACTTGAATTCCTCTATTCCACTGCCACTAGTGATGTGTCGGTCGCGATCAAGCCGATTCTTTTGAACGGCTCTTCCAGTACGAACGAGGGGAACCGGGTCGTACTTGATGAGAGCCATTCTTGTTATCGTTCAATCGTTGGTCCGCACTCACTGCCTGCCAAAATCCACTCGCCTTTTAAAAAGCTTGATTATTAGCCCTTGACGGCTCGCCACTGCGAACAATTCTGCCATTCTCCTGGACTTCCTTCAATGTGTTGTAATATCCCAACAAAAATGAAATGGACATTTGAATACAGAACGTTTTCATGGAGTTTGACCAAAAAGATCGTAGAGACCCTCTTAGTTAGTTTAAAGTGACAGAGGATCATCCTCAGTTCAGCATAAGTGTTTGTTGTTTTCATTAGATTTCTAGACAGTTTGGTCTAGCCCTATTGTTTGAAGCAGAATTGTATTTACTGTATGTTTCTAAATGGCAGTCTATATATTTTATCGACAATAACGAAGCTAGCACAAGAGGAAATAAACATTTTCCAACATCAAAGTTGCTGATCCCGGATCTTATTGTCATGGTCTGCTTCTCACCTTACGTGCTGCACCTCAGTACTTTTCCACTGACCCCGCCTCCACCTTACATGATTGGACAGCCACACCCACACCGTCAGCTCACCTGGGCTCCTTGCTGCTTTTCATCTCCAATCAGCTAGTATATAAGCCTCTCCTGCACACTCACTCATTGCCAGATTGTTCTTTGAACTCAGGCAAGACTCTCCAGCACGATTTCCTTTTGCCAACCCAGCCTGCCTCTGACCTGTCTGTCTCGTCTGATTCCCAGGAAACCCGCCAGCCTTCTATCACTCACCTTGAGATCATCTTCCCTCCCTCAACTATACAGTGTGAGTGTATATATATATATACAAACTTCAACAAACTTGCTAGTGCATGGTTTGGCAAAATGCATTGCAATGCAATGTTTTTGTTTGTTGTTGTTTTTACGAGTTAGGAGGCGTACACATGTGCATTTCTTGTGCACTCATTTCAGTTGTATTCAATGCAGCCTCTCAAAATAAGTGGTGGACGACACCGACGCGTGTTAAACGACTTTTTACTCAGGGCGAATCCAAGGCGCCCCAATTTAAACGCAGCAGCGGGCACCGCTTGTCACGTGACGAGGAATAACCAGCCAGAAGATGTCTTTAAAAACAGTTGTGCAGCAAATATGGAAGAGAAGTTAATTATTATTGTAGTATGTTTAGGACAGATTTCATGCAGTAATTATGACACTGTATATTTATTCAGTGTAATTAACTATTTTGTCTTTCTCAACCAGAACAATGACACGCAGTTCAGTTCTGCCCCTGCTGCTCCTGCTGGGGACGTGCTCAGCTTACACCTACCGTAAGTGGGATTACGCTCATTATAAAAGTTCTAACAATTATTTAGTTTTTTTCACTTGGATGTTTGAGCTTCACTTTGATTTGGTGATTTGTAATCATCTTCAAATAATTTTCCGCTTCACAGAAAATGTGGCCTTGCGTGGAAAAGCAAGCCAGTCAGGGCGTTATCCAGTCCGTTCTGGAGATGCAAACGCAGCTATTGATGGAAACCGTGATTCTAACTATGTTCATGGTTCATGCACCGGTACTGATGTGATGACCAACCCCTGGTGGAGAGTGGACCTGCTGGAGTCCTACATCGTCACCTCCATCATCATCACCAACAGAGCAGACTGCTGTGCAGAAAGGCTCGACGGGGCAGAGGTTCATATCGGCAACTCTTTGCAAGACAATGGTGCCGCAAACCCAGTGTGAGTGATCGCTCAGATTTTTTGATTACAGGGTTCACCCCAGGAAATAATTTAGCAGACCTAAGCCACCCTTTTTATGATCCATTAGGTGACTGGGTCATGGCTGCACTCCGTGCACATGTAGCATTTGGGGTGTGAAATACTGCCTTTACTGTTCTTCAGGCAGGTTAAATGTGGGTGTAATGTCTTACTTTATGTTGCTATACACCTGTTCAGTATTGCACCTATACAACGTAATGAACTGCCTCCTCTCTCTCTTTAGGGCTGGTGTGATTTCTCACATCCCTGCAGGTGGTTCTTTCACAATGACTTTTACCGAACCTGTGGAGGGACTTTATGTGTCTGTGGTTCTACCTGGTTCAAACAGGATCCTAACGCTCTGCGAGGTGGAGGTCTACGGTTACCGTGCTCCAACAGGTGAGAATTGAAATCATGGTGAGGTGGTGCATTTGTCTAATTCTTTTGATACAGCTGCAGTCACACCAAGCTATTTCATCTTAAATTATGTATTGGCTTGGTAAATTCTCTAAAGAAACAGTATTGACACTGATATACAAAATTCACTTCTGCTAGCTGCTGTTGCACTTTCTCCAACAACAATAAATCAATGCATCTGTACAACTTTCCTTGACCTCCATTTTCTACTGCATATGTTACCACTGGAGAGTGTACTTTCCTGTTTGTGCATTATAGTTTTATGATAATGCACACGTTTTTCAGGTTTTTTTTCTACAGAGAGCATCAAGAACCACTACTTATCAATGCTGATACTTGCAAATGTGTTCTGTTTACAGGAGCAAACTTGGCACTCCAGGGAAAAGCTTCTCAGTCATCACTGAATAATTTTCATGGCATTGCTGGCAATGCCATTGATGGAAGTCGTGACGGTGCCTATGGCCATGGTTCTTGTAGCCACACAAATAATGATCTTAACCCCTGGTGGCGTCTGGACCTGGTTGAAACCCACAAAATATTTTCTGTTAAAGTTACCAACAATCTAGATGATTCAACACGACTTAATGGAGCTGAGATCAGAATTGGAGATTCTCTGGAAAACAATGGCAACAGCAACCCCAGGTACTTTACAGACCTTTAATTGTGTTACTATGTAGTTAAAAGTTTGTGATTGAATATTTGTCATTAGTTTTGTTTGGAACAACACTTGTATGCTCTATAAATATAAGACAATAATATATAGGGTTGGCAATAGTAATATCTCTTAACAATATTTTACCAAAATGTGTTCAAATAATCATTCAAAGACAAACAAATGTCTTCTTCTACTAGGTGTGCTGCGATCTCAAGCATCCCTGCAGGTTTCACCGAAACCTTTGAGTGTAACGGGATGGACGGTCGCTACGTCACCATCGTCATTCCTGGGAGAAAGGAGTACCTGGTTCTCTGTGAGGTGGAGGTGTACGGCTCCAGACTGGATTAGGTCTGAGAAGAAAGATTTTCAACATCTGATAATCTTATTGATACTTTAATTACAGTCATAGCTTAATCTTCTTTTGCTAGCTGCATATTGATGGGACTTGTACCTTGTTTAACCAGAGACTCTCCAACAAAAAAGTAATCTGACTTGCCAAATATAATGAATATTAACGGATTAATGTTTCCACTCTACTTTTATTGTGTTAAACTGTCGCATTTATAATTAAGAAAATGTGGAAAGCGACCAATTTGGGCTGCAACGGGACATATATTAATATAATAAATGAAATACATTATAGTCAATCAGTTTAAATGAATCATGTCAGAAAAAAGTATTTACAAAAATCCATGAACTGATCAGACCTTCTCTGCTTTTATCTTCTGCTTTTGATGATGTCACAACGCCATTTTCTTTCAATGCCTTTTTCATCATCAATATTATAATCCAGATGCAAATGATTAAGTCAAACTGTGATTTTATACCTTGTATGATCAGCATAGTAGCAAAAATATACCTTAACTTTACTATTTTATCTCTTATAATCTGACCAGGAAGTACAAATGTATGTATTTGGGAACTGCATGTTAACGTTGTTGCAATGTACGTTCAACTAATGTCATAATGTAACCTCAACATATATGTACACTCCTTATTTACTTACATGTTGCAAGAATAAAACTTTCCATTTACTGGACTATGTGACTGTGTGAGTTCCAAGCACCCTTAAACCTCAGTAGGTGATAATAATGTTAACATTTAACACATTAATATAACTATTCTGAGGAATTAATGAATACAAGTTAAAGAATAACGTTTGTTTTATCCTTTCAATTTATTTCGGCAAAAATGACATCATATAAACAACCCGGTATCACGGCAAGACGTGAACATGTGACGATCTACCATGCTGGGAGACTTGAATATATCACGGTTTCGTCCCTTCAAACGTGACAGTTACACGGTATTGTTATCATGGCCCAACCAGTGGAGAAATACCCGGAAGTGCCTAGCAAATGGTCTACCGCGCCTATTGGTCGGTTTTTATTGTCAAAATTAGATGTTTTAATTTATTTTTTAATCGTCACACTCGATTTTGCCGATTTTCTTGTTGCCCTAGCTGGTCGACACCTCTTTTAGCAGAAACAAAGGCTACATTAATGTATTAAATCGATGTTAATCCATGTGTGTGGAGGTGAGGATGTGGAATTAACGGACGTGACGTTGTGCGATTGCGTTGCCAGGCAACGCAATTTACAAACTCTTCAACTACAACCCTAATTATATTTTAAAACATTTTAGACAGCCTCACGAAATACTTTAATGTAAATTAAAATGTAAATGTGAAGGAATGTGTGTAATGTGGTGATTGACATTATTCACCCACGGATCTATGGGTTGGGGGTATTATTCCGCACGGACATTTTAGTTAACCGGACTCCTGTTGATGTGAAATCCGAAAACATTTAAAAAAAATAAAATAATACTTTATTCCGAGTTTGCTTGCTTTTCTCTTTGGAGGTCATCACATAACGGCATTGTAATACACGGTTTGGCTGCATTAAATATGACACATCTGCCGTAGTTCTGTATTTATAGAGCCCTGATGAGAAGACTTCTGGACAAACAGGAAGCACTGCCGCCAAAACTGAAAACGTGACGTGGATCATAAATATATCCGCAATTAAACAACATCTTACATTTATTTTCACACAATACGTCTCCTTGCAGTATCAATAATAATTCGGCTGACTTTTATATTTGATCCAATTGGTAGATAGGCTGTATTTACACCATAACGGTGCACAGTTGATAGAAAGGCACATCTAGTGGTTAAAGCACGTTATTGAATTTGATTATTTGATTATTTTTCACAAAAATGAAACCATCAATAGCAGAAACAGAATTAACTGTCATTAGTAAACCACCCAAAAAAAAAGATCATAAATGGTTTTGTTTTATAATATATATTTTAAGGATAATAATAGCAATGTAACACTGTCTATGACACTTACTGTATAACACTGATTTGAAAAACATACAGAAAAAACTAATTCACTGCCCTTAATAAAGTATTTAATACATTTCAGGTGTGCTGTTTTGTTTAGATCATTGACATCTGGAGCTCTTTTAATGTCCTTTTTGATTATTGTTACACCAGGTCTTGTCAAAACCTTTATTCCATATTCAATATCCATTACTAAACAAAACAGCAATTCTACTCCACTACAATTCAGAGGTTAACCTGGTATTTTTACTCCACTACATTTATTTTAGTTACTTTGCAGATTCTGATTAATGATGTGAAATATAAACAACCCTTAAATCAGGCTTTAGTTACACCTGAGTAAAATTCAGGGAAAGGTGATTGTCAAGTGCCAACAATCAGGAGAGATATTTGATAGTTGCTGCTTGAGAAGACTAAACATTTATCTGCAGATCCCTATAAAGTATATTCATTACTCATTATTCTCTACTAATAGTTCATTAAAGACTGTATATAATGGCTATTTTGCATATCCCTTTCAAGATTTCAAGATTTTCTAAGGATCATTGACATATCATACACAACTAATTCAATAACGTGCTTTAACCACTAGGCGGTGCACACAGCCATAATAACTTTGTATTATTAGTGTAGGACACTTGTGTATGTATAATATCTGAAGATGTGTAGTTTTATTCATGTTTTCACATAATTGTACAGGATATTGCTATATTATTTCACATGTTTTACTTATAATATCTGATTTGTAAAACATCACAGACAGAAAGGTATATCTGTCATTTAACAGTAAGCTATAGAAATTCTGAATCCATAGATGTGTCTCCCATCACCCAAATCCCCTGACTATTCTCTCAACTCAGTATTTACATTCTTATATTCAAAGAAAATCAGTAATATCTTTAAAAACGACAAGTCCTTTTATATCAACTGTGCACCGTTATGGTGTATAACGTATTTTTTTTCGGATTTCACATCAACAATAAGTCCGTTTAACTAAAATGTCCGTGCGGAACAATACCCCCAACCCATAGATCCGTGGGTGAATAATGTCAATCACCACATTACACACACCCCTTCACATTTACATTTTAATTTACATTAAAGTATTTCGTGAGGCCTTCTAAAATGTTTTAAAATATAATTAGGGTTGTAGTTGAAGAGTTTGTAAATTGGGTTGCCTGGCAACGCAATCGCACAACGTCACGTCCGTTAATTCCACATCCTCACCTCCACACACATGGATTAACATCGATTTAATACATTAATGTAGCCTTTGTTTCTGCTAAAAGAGGTGTCGACCAGCTAGGGCAACAAGAAAATCGGCGAAATCAAGTGTGATGATTAAAAAATAAATTAAAAACATCTAATTTTGACAATAAAAACCGACCAATAGGCGCGGTAGACCATTTGCTTGGCACTTCCGGGTATTTCTCCACTGTTTGGGCCATGTTAACAATACCGTGTAACTGTCACGTTTGAAGGGACGAAACCGTGATATATTCACGTCTCCCAGCATGGTAGATCGTCACATGTTCACGTCTTGCCGTGATACCGGGTTGCATATAATACTAGTATTTTCTTCATCTATCCAGAGTCCAGGTGACTGTTGAGAACTGTTCTTAATATTAACATGCAGGCAATGACAGTACAAAAGCTCAGTTGTATAGATCTTGAACTTATTCAAAAACAATTCAGCAATAGCTTTACAAAACACAGTATGATCAGTACAAATACAAAAGTATAAAGATTATACATATACATTCACAACATAATCCATTTGCATATTACCCATACCAGTACTAGAAGCATTGGGAAGCTTTATAGCGCATTGGGGATCAGCATGGGGGTCCGATGGCTTTCTCGTGGGCACCGCCCGCCTGTTAAAGTACCAGAACACTCCGTACTTCGTCCTTTGAAAGACTTGAACTGGAAGTGCCTACAGATTGAGCTAATGTCGGTGTAAGCCCTCTAATTGGCAAGAAAAATTGTTTTATCTTTGGTAATTGGATGTTGTTCATCATATCATTCTGATATTATTTTTTACCTTCTTACATAACATCAAAGTCTGGTGCCTCCGAAGAGCCAGATACACTTTTTTTGGTGCACTGTATCTAAAATGCAGCCTAGTACAACAGCCCTGCAGTAAATCTTACCTTCACCAAAGTTATAATGTTGAGTGTTTGGCTGAAACTGAGATGTAACTGTATTCACCTAATCCAGTCTGGAGCCGTACACCTCCACCTCACTCAGGGCTATGTAATCGCTTCTCCCAGGAATGACGATGTTAACGTAGCGATCGTCCATCCCGTTACACTGAAAGCTTTCAGTGAAACCTGGAGGAATTCTTGAGATCACAGTACACCTTGGAGAAGAAGAACATACTTTAACACATCAAAAATCAGTTAAATAAATGGACTCTAAGAAAGATCTCTTATTTCTATTGTGAGAAATGTAAGATACTGCTATGATATGCCAAACCTATGTTCTTTGATTATTATTTTGTATTGCGCAAAATTCGTTGTTTCAAACATGCCCAATGATAATTCTCTATAACTGTACAAATGTTTAGTTAATGGACATTAAAGTACCTGGGATTGCTGTTGCCATTGTTCTCAAGAGTATCTCCAATTCGAATCTCAGCTCCAACAAGTTGTAAGTTAACATTTCTGTAGTTGGTTATGTTAACGGAAAATATTTTGTGAGTTTTGCCAAGGTCCAGGCGCCAATAAGGATTCAAATCAGATGCCGTGTGAGCACAAGTGCTCCAGACGGTGTTTAGATTCCCATCAATAGCATTGTAATGCCTGTAGAATGCAGCGATGACTGTGTGGCTTTCCCTTGGATTGCCAGGTTCTCTGCTGCACAAAGCACATATTTGAAAATATCAACACTGATAATGGGTTTTCCTTGATGCTTTCTGAAAAACAATGTGGCCCCAATCTGTGTATGTCTTGAAAGTGGATTCCACAAGTATTTGTTAATTGTCCTAACTGCAGTGAAAGTTGTGAGGATGCATGTTTTTTATTTAGATCAGCATTGCAAAACTGGAGGGATGAACCAGCAGCTACTAGTGTAAATGTATAAATTGTTTTCTTCAACTATCCAGAGTCCAGGAGACTGTTGAGAACTGTTCTTCTCACAATTAATTAATCTAATAAAAGAGAGATTATCTTTATTACTGTAGTGACAGGAAGTGCCTGAAGTTTTTCAAATGAAAGCAGTTCAAACTCTGGTGAGCTTTATATAAAAAGAGGCAGAGGCATCAACTCGAAAATCAAACCATGTGACACTTCATCCAAATATATTAAACTCTCACCTGTTGGGGCACGGAACCCGTAGACTTCCACTTCGCAGAGTGTAAGGATCCTTTTTAAACCCGGTAGAACCACAGTCACAAAAAGTCCCTCCACAAGTCCGGTAAAAGTGATTTTTAAAGACCTGCCAACTGGGATGTGAGGAATTACAGCAGCCCTGAAGAAGAGAAAGAGGAAGCATTGCAGGACATTGTTTTAAAACTGCAGTACTTTAAAAGTATAAACGTATAAAAGAATAAATTACACATAACCTACCAGAAGAAGGCATTATTTCAAACAACAAACGTCACTTGTTTATTTATACGTCTTTGGTGATTATATAGTCCTCTACTATATAGGCTATGAAGTCTTTAAGATCACTCACACTGGGTTTGC